TAAGGCCCTGGCTAGTGGGTTATAATAATTAGCAATAATTATGAGGATGAAATTGTCAATACGACCAATGTCACAAGTGATAGCAATGACCGTAGCTAACAATAAATGAATGATAATGATGATTTGTGATGAATGATTTTTATAAAATGATCTATGATTTTGTGACATGTTTCTATATTGATTTATGATCTATAAATGCTTGATAGAATGTTGATTTTTGAACTATTTTTTACATTATGGGTTGATAAATATTTTTAGGAATGATTTATATAGTACATATGAAAATAATGGTTGATTCGATAAAGTGTGTAAGCCTTTACTTACTCAGTTGTATTCCTTATTTTATTTTTTTTTACAAATGATATAAATGATATGTATGATTAGTCTTGATAGGAGCTAAAAGAATCAAGCATTAAAGAACTACTTAGAAATTAGGATTTTATGAAGTATTGTTTCTTTTAATTGTAATACTCGACTTTGAACCTTTAGAGACTTGTTATTTAGTTATTTTACTTATTGAGAATCTTATTTTAGTTGAGAATTTTTCAATGGTTATGGATTAGGCTTCGTATTGCTTTAGGGTTTTACTTCAAAGTAATATGACCGTGTTATGTCTCAATCTCGGGACGTGATAGATCCAAATCATTATCACCTCATCTAGTCAATTGAGTGATGGGTATACTAAGGATAGTAATGGATAGTAAATAAACAAATATCATTATACAATACATTTATATCAGATTCGAAGAGTTATAAATGGATAATTAATGGATTCAAATAGGAAATTTATTATCCGTGCTGGATTCAAAAAGGATATGGATAGTATCTCATGGATATCCATTTAAATTTTAATAAATAATAATGGATATCTGAATCCATTGCCTATTTATATATGTAAAATATGTAAAATTTTATACTTATGGAAGGTTTCGAACCTTGCCAAAAAATTTTTATATATTATTAATTAAAAGTAAAATTAATTTTAAATTAAATTCTTATTTATTTTATATTTTGACAAAAAAATTAAATAAACTAGTATTTTAACAAATTTGAATATTTAAACGAATAATGATTATTTAAACAGCTTCGAATTAGGATTGTTATACTAACTTAAACAAATATTTAAACGGATTTAATTATTATAAATGTTAAACGAATTGAGATACAGATATCTAAAAAATAATGAATATTTGTTTCGTTACTATCCCTAAAAATGCCTACCTATACAATCATTCTTGATTGATAGATGATTGTCATTGGTCGACCTAATTGCCTTGTCGATGAAGTCCATGTGGGAGCTTCTTCATTAATTACTTTGTTAACATCTTATGTCACCTGCACTAAAATGTTCAATCTCTAATACTCTTATTTTCATTTGATTTTGTTTCCTATCACATTCTTCATAGTAACATAATAAATGGCTTGTTTAACAAAAAAAATGCCTTTTTTTTTTCTACATATATGGTAATGGCATGGAATTGTGAAAAAGATTGTGCATGTGTTACATTTCGAATTTTAGAACTATTAATACTATCTTTTAAAATGACTACTTAAATCAACTGAATTAAATTTTCAATTTAAAATCAAAATACATTTGTGATACATATATAATATTAAAAAAGTATTATTAATATGTTGATCAATGTAAAATATGTTGAAAGCTTAATTAGTATATTGATATTTAGAATTTTTTTCTTTTTTTATTTAATTTGTCTTAAGCTAAACAAAATTTAAAGGAGCCTCTTGAAAATAAATTAGTAAAATTTGTTAATTAAAAAGACCAAAAAGACTTTGACCAGGTAGAATTTTATTTTGATTGAACAAAAAAAAAAAAAGAAAAAATTTTAATTTTGTTATATCCTAATAGCGAAAGCTAGATCTAACAATTTTTACATTCATATTATAGTTATTTCATATTTAACACATATAAAATATAAAAATGATCGTATCAAATTTGTGTTGATTCGATCATTTTTGTATTTTATATATCACAAAGTATATTTTTTGTTTATGTCAAACTCATATACAATTTTGACTAAAATTTTAAATCTGTATCACTTTCATATATATATTTTTTATATCATGTCATCATATTGTATCTAAAAATTATCAATTTTAGCTAAAGTTTTAATTTTTTTAAACTTGCCTACTATAGACAAAGGAAAATGTTATTAAAGAAAGATATAAAAAAAAAATGTTAATATCTAAAACATTAATTTTGGTAATGTACGATTAATAGTGCAAGAGCTCTAAGGGGTGCCATGTGATGCTTCTAGTTTTTTTTTAGTTCATTTTAACTTTTTTAAAAATATTTACTAAAGATTTTTTTGAATTTTAATTTTTGTCAGACTCACTTGAAACTGATGGTATGTTATGTGTTTTTTTTTTTTTTTTTACTTTTTCATTTCTTATTTTTTATATATTTAATAAATAATTTTTTATATTTACTTTTTAAGACTCATCGATATCAAGTGTATGCCATGTGTTAAGTAATTTGGCTATTTTTTTATATATTTTTTTCACTTTTTTTTTTTACTATTTACTTTTTAAAAAAATATATTTAATATTTTTAAAGATATTTTTAAACTTTCTTAATATATGACCTATTTGATATGATTATCCAAAATATATATTTTCTTTTTGTCGTTATTTTTTCTATTTTTTAAAATTTGATAACTTTTTAAATTAAAATATTAGCAAAAGTGTTGATGTAATACCTTTTTTGGTTTTTTTTTGTGTGTGTGTGTTTTTTTTATATCCATGATATAAGTTTTTTAAGAAAAAATCATTATCGCAAATGTTGCCAACTTTTTTTCATTTTCTTTTGTCTTGTCTTTTTTTAAAATAAGATCATTTTTTGAATAAAAAAATGAATTTGTACACATGGCACCCTATTTTTTTATTTTTTTATGTTTTAATTAATCAAATTATTATTTAATACTTTAATTTAAAAAATTAATATTTTAAACTTAATTGAGATGTCTGCATATTACCTAATAAACTTCATTGTCATTTTTATCCCTTTTTTTTTCTATTTTTCCAATTTTTCCCTTTTTTAGTTTTTATGTTTCTTTTATTAAATTAATTTTGTCTTAAAAAATTAGGACGATGGAGGTATCTACATAGTACCCTATTTGTTTTTTTTTCTTATTTTGCCTTTTTTGTACTTTTAATTAGATAAATTTTGTATACAAGATGTCAATTGAGAGAGATGTTAAAATAATATGAATCCGATGAGTTTTTATCCATCCTAATTTGAAAATGGGTGGGTTTTTTTTTTTTTTAAATTGGAGTAGAGTTGGGATGGATCGAGTTTTTTCATAAAATACAACATTAAGGCAAACAAGAATGTCACTAGGTAGGATACGAGACAGGTGGGGTTTGAGACAAGTAGAGCATTCCCCATTCTTATCCCTAAATTTTTATATTATACTTATCCTGTGTATCCATCCATACTCAACAGGTTCAAATCTATCCCATCCTCGCAGGTATTTAATGCATACTAGCAATTCCTATCCTATAACTTTCTTTAAATAAAAACAAAATTTTATTTTTTTACATTTTATTTTATTTTTACATAGATATAATTTTTTATAAATATATTAATATTTTTTAAAAATAAAAATATATTAATTTTGATTCATTTAAATAAAATTTATATTATTTAATAAAAAATCTATTTACTAAATATATAAAAAATATATACGGTAGGTACTATATTACTTGTCTTTGTATAAGATAAAAAATTTAAAATCATACCTATCATCATCCTCATTCCCAAAATTTAAGACCCATCTCTATCTTTATTCGGATAAAAATTTGAGTTTCTCATCAGGTATAGGTAAAATAAACATTTCTAGAGGTGAAAGCGAGTTTAAGATGTTTTATCCCAAGTCATTTTGGGATATATATAAAAATATATATTTAATTTTATATTTATATGTATGTATTATATTAACAAAATTATTATTTAAAACTTTAAGTTAAAAAATTAATATTTTAAACTCAATAGAGGTATCTTTGTGGCACATTTTATTAACTTTTTTTTTCATTTTTTTTATTTTTTGATTTTTTACAATTATTTTTTGATTTTTTACAATTATTTTTTTTATTTTTAAATTAAATATATTTTGTGATAATAGAAAGTCAATTTAAGAATGCACTATCACTCTTTTTTTTTCATCTTTTTTTATTTTTTTTATTAGATAAAATTTGAAAAAAAATCATAAATAAAGATGGTAAAACAAAAAATTTTTAACTTGTAACATTTTTGTTTGATAAAAAAAATTAATATTCACTAGGTTTCGATCCATTTTGATTCGATATATGTATTTTTATAAAAAAAGATTTCAAATCAAGTTGGATTTTTTTTTTATAGAAAAGCAAGAATAAATTAAAAGCAAATTTAGAGTGTTTTACTCTATGGTATATATAAATGTATATATTTTATTATCTATTTAATTTTATATAAATTTTATAAAAAAATAATGTTAATGGAGGTATGCACATAGCACCTTATTTGTTTTATTTTTCATATTTTTTTAAAAAATTTAATTGAATTAATTTTATAATAAAATGAGTCGATTAATACATACGATAAAGCAATCAACATCTAATAAATTTTATTCGTCTTGATTTAATATAAATAGATTTATAAAAAAAATTGATATAGAATCAATTAGAAATAAGATATCAATTTAAATATTTATGCATAACCTTTATTTAAAATTTTTTTATCTTTTATTTTTTAAAATTAAATAAATTTTTAACAAAAAATCAATAAATATGAATAAAAAAATAAAAAAAAATTTATCAACAACAATACGAAGGCTAACCTAATAAATAAAAAGAGTAGGAATTCATTTTCGAACAAGTATTTGCTCAACTCCCATCTAACTATCATTAGCCATCATAAATATTCCGATGTTCTGTCAAGGACATTTAAAAGAAGCATTAAGTTTAATGTGGGTCTGTTCTCCCATTAAATGCCTCTACCAACGACCCCCTAAACTAATTAATGGCTCGATAGAAACGAGTGAGGTGACCGTCAGTGCTGGCATTTTTCGTTTTCTTTTTCTTTTTGTTTTCGTTGAGTTTTGGTTTTTTTTTTTTTTTCTTTTTCTAATTTTCATTTTGACCTTTCATCCTTCACCTCGTTATTCTCCGAGATATGTGAACACTGAGAAATGCTCTCGAAGAAGATGGGAGTCTAGTTTCAGTTCGTTTCTTATCAGCTGCGGCACGCCTCCAAAATTAAATAATAATAATAATAATAATAATTAAGGCAAGTTGATGGGCGGATGAGGCTCCTTTTGCATGGGATTCTCTCAACCTAACAAAGTCATTCAAGTTTCAACAGCTTTGGAGACTTTCGTTTCACGCTTCATCTCATCGCCCCCTCTACATACGAATCTCATTTTCTTATGTTTACCTTGTTCTTTTCCTTTTAATAATTAGATGAGGAATTCGGCAAATGCTGTTATGAAGGAGCTAGAGGAGAATAAGCAAGCTGCAAGGAACGGGATGGTGGTAGGGGGTTTGAGTCCTCTGAGTGAGACATTATGGAGAGAGAAGACTAACACGGAGTTTATGGGAGATGTGTCCGCGAGGCTCACTTGGAAAGATCTGACCGTAATGGTAACTCTGAGCAATGGAGAGACCCAGAAGGTGTTGGAAGGACTGACTGGTTATGCTGAACCTGGCACTCTCACCGCTCTCATGGGTCCTTCGGGCTCTGGCAAATCCACGCTTCTTGATGCACTCTCCAGTCGCTTGGCTGCTAACGCTTTCCTCTCAGGAACCATTCTTCTCAATGGTCGTAAGACCAAGCTTTCTTTCGGGACTGCGGTGAGCACTTATCTTGTGTTATAGTCTTTCAGTTATGTCTTGAATCTTTATTCCCCCCTAACAGTCTGCTATGTCCTTATCATACTCATCTTATTAATTTGTGTTCTGAACCAATTAGGCCTATGTCACTCAAGATGATAACTTGATTGGTACACTGACTGTTCGGGAAACAATATCTTACTCCGCTCGACTCCGTCTCCCTGATAAGATGCCTTTGTCCGAGAAGCGCGCACTCGTTGAAAGTACAATTATGGAAATGGGGCTCCAAGATTGCGCTGATACTGTTATTGGAAATTGGCATTTGCGTGGGATCAGTGGAGGAGAAAAGAGGAGGGTCAGCATAGCTCTTGAAATTTTGATGAGGCCCAGACTGCTATTTCTTGATGAGCCAACCAGTGGACTTGATAGGTTTATCTCCATCATCTTCCATTTTTCTATATATATATATATATATAATTTGTTTCCTAATATCTGCTATTATTTCTGGAGGCATAGACGTTACTTTTTGTTTCAATTGTCGGGCTGCCTAATAGCTGCTCTTTCTTTTCTAAACTGTTACTGTTGTTTTTGCTTTTTTTTCTTTTTTTCTTTTTTTAACTTTCCAATCTTTCCTTTATTACTTTTTGTAATGGCTTGGTAAACTGCATGTCATTGTTTGCTGTTGGTTTTTCAGCTTTACTTTTTTGTTTAAACTTCATATTTTTTTCCTTAAAATATTTTGCAGGGCCTAAAAGATATTGTTTAAGTTTTACCCTTAAAATGTATATCGTATATCTGCTAAAGAGTTTAGTTTTTAAAGATTCATTTGAAAGCATGACGGAAAAGGTTTCCTTCATTCTGAAGTGCCAAAACTGCACAGCACGGAACACATATGTGTAACCGCGCTTCCAAATGAAACCTAAGCCACCTTTTTCCCTCTTCTTCGTTCTATAAATGCGGCTATACAACTTCAAAATTATAGCAACTCTTTATTCTTGTTTGTAGGCTACAACAGTGGTTCTGCTGTTTTCTTTTCTTTTTCTTTTTGATTTCGACGTATAATGTTAAAACCTCTTTTTATCCTGCAATAGTTTCTTATTACTTTGTATACAATGCAGTGCTTCGGCATTTTTTGTAACTCAGACTTTACGTGGCCTGTCAAGAGATGGTAGAACTGTAGTGGCTTCAGTCCATCAGCCCAGTAGTGAAGTCTTTGAGCTATTTGATCAGTTATATTTGCTTTCTGGCGGCAAAACTGTTTATTTTGGTCAGGCTTCTGAAGCATATGAGGCAAGAATTCTCACCTTTTCCTTTCATTTGACATGATTTGGATATTCAATTACATAATGTTTCTTGGATTGCGGATGTAGTTCTTTGCACAAGCTGGATTTCCATGCCCTGCCTTGAGAAATCCATCTGATCATTTTCTCAGATGTATCAATTCGGACTTTGATAAGGTTAAGGCTACTCTAAAAGGATCCATGAAATTACGGGTATCTACTTTATTTCCCATCGTTTAGTATTCCTTCCTACTTTGGTACACTACATATGACTGAAAAATAAATATATATATTTTTTGAACTCTTGAGTTCTGTTTTTACTACAAGGGCCTTCTAAACACAGAATGTCTTATTTCTGCTGCAAATTGCTTTATAATCAGTTTGAGGCCAGTGATGATCCCCTGGAGAAGATAACCACAGCTGAAGCGATCAGAACTCTTATTAACTTTTACAGCACATCTCAGCAATGCTATGCCGCAAAGGAAAAGGTTGATGAGATATCCAAAGTTGTAAGTACTTCACCAGGCAACTCTGTGCTAGCTATATATTATTTTGTCAACTTTATTTTTTCTCATGCCGCAGTTAAAGATTAATCTTGATTTCCTTTGAATTGGATTCTGTTGGTAGTTGAGTTTTTTTTCCATATGTTGCAGAAAGGAACTGTGCTAGATTCTGGAGGTAGTCAAGCTAGTTTCTTTATGCAGTCTTATACTTTAACCAAGCGTTCATTCATCAACATGTCTAGAGACTTCGGCTATTATTGGCTGAGACTGCTAATATATGTTGTAGTCACTATCTGCATTGGAACCATTTATCTCAATGTTGGAACGAGCTACAACGCAATTCTGGTACTGTTAATACATCTCTTAGAACTTTGTTGAATCACTTTTTGGACTACTAAGTGCTAATAGAGCAAAATTTTTTAAGATATAATGGAAAAAAATTGATAGTTCACTAATTATATGACACAATAAAGAGAAAAATTTATATTTATTTATCTTCAGTCAAGCGTTGAAAGAGTGATTTAAGATTCTAAATCTTGTGCTACAGGCAAGGGGTTCATGTGCATCTTTTGTGTTTGGTTTTGTCACATTCATGTCAATTGGTGGGTTCCCTTCCTTTGTAGAGGACATGAAGGTAAGTCATGACCATGAATTGAAGCTTAAACAAATAAACTTACCAGCCATGGTGGCTCCAACATTTTGACCGGCTGATTTTTGCAGGTTTTCCAAAGAGAGAGGTTAAATGGCCACTATGGTGTAACTTCATTTGTTATTGGGAATACGCTTTCAGCTATGCCATTCCTCATTATGATCACCTTCATCTCTGGAACTATTTGTTACTTTATGGTTCGTCTTCATCCGGGCTTTGAACGTTATTTATTCTTCGTATTGTGCCTTTACGCAAGCGTTACTGTGGTTGAAAGCTTGATGATGGCCATAGCCAGTATCGTCCCCAATTTCCTCATGGGCATCATCATAGGAGCAGGGATTCAGGTTTCTCTCTTTTCAGCATATTCTGCATTTTTCCTATAGTGTTCACTTATAATTTTTAATAGAATTACATAGCTTTAAACTATGCTTACACCCTCTGACACTGAGAACTCTAAGGATATATATTCACCCTAGTCCATTTTGATGACTGATATATATAGCTCATAAGTTGCCTTTCTTCCAGGGAATATTCATGCTTGTTTCTGGGTACTTCAGACTCCCAAATGACATCCCAAAACCTGTCTGGCGTTATCCAATGTCCTACATCAGCTTCCACTTTTGGGCTCTACAGGTGATCAAATAGCAAGTAAAATTCTTAGGACTTAATAACCGGCCGATTGATTTAAACTGATGTCATATTGGTTCATCAAGGACTAAAACAAGAGAGATTTTTGTTTCAGGGACAATACCAAAATGATCTGAAGGGCTTGTTGTTTGAGAATCAATCACCTGACCTTCCCAAAATTCCTGGCGAATATATCCTGGAAAACGTGTTCCAAATTGATGTGGGACGCTCAAAATGGATCGACCTGAGTGTGATATTCAGCATGATATTGATTTACCGCATTGTATTCTTCTTAATGATAAAGATCAACGAGGATGTTACTCCATGGATCAGAGGTTTGATAGCCAGGAGAAGGATGCAACAGAAGAATGGAACTCAAAATACGACTGTTGCGCCTGATGGTCTCACCCCTTCTCCTTCGTTGAGGACTTACGTCGCAAATCGAGCAACTGGAAAGGGTAAAAGCGTATCCATGCAACAGATCTCAAACTTTGGTGGCAGATCGATGTGATCACGTTTGAGTCCTGAGATACAATTCGACAATGACTTCAGTCAAATTTACATTTCAACATCACACTTGATCTATTGCTATTTTTTTTTTTATAAAACATTTGCGTTAATATATGTAATATGCACCAATCTGTATTACTATGCCTTTGAAGCTATACATATAGTTAGTGCCATGGTATATTTCAGGAAAGGGAACTATGGAAGATATATGGAAGATATATGGAAGATAATTACAAGATCCATGATAAACTGCTCACCAGATTTTGCTTCCGATCGTTACATTATATATTAATCATTTCAAAAAATAAATAAATTTATCAGATTCTGTTCCTGTCAAGTTCATTTACTGAAGATTGCAGTTTATATTTGAGATGAGCCCAAGCGTTTTAAGTCACGTCAACGATCAGAAATTTACCCTATTAGTTTTTCTCTTCTTTTTTTTTTTTTATTATCCTTATTTAAATGGGAAAAAAAATAGCCTTACTCGTCCCTTTCATTTCATTCTCATCTTCTATGAATGCAATGCCTCTATTCAAACAAGAATTTAAATCATGTACTAATTTATAGGCCGATGAGTAGATTCATATTTTATATCTTTGGATTTGTTGTTGATCATACATGCAATCATCAACTAACACTACAGAAAAATAGGTATTTAATGGCTTTTTTTTATATTTAGTGACGTTTATAAGTGTCATTAAATGATTCACAGAATTTGTCAAAAACGCCAAAAAAAAACGTTAACTACATTTGCGTAGAAAAAATAACAGTATTTTAGAAAAAAAAATCACTAACTTAATGATGTTTATTGCATAAATGGAGAAATTTAACAGTGTTGCTCTCAAACGCCGTTAAATTTTGTGACGTTTTTCACTACAAACATCGCTAAATTAGGAAATTTACTTTTTTTATTTATTTCAATGTTCATTACTGTAATTAAATAAAAAATAGATAAATATTTTTAAATTCATAAAAAAAAATTTTAATTTATAAATTGAATATTATAAATATTTAAACATCTAAATACATAATTTGTTTCAGTATGTATGTAACACAAAGTTTAATACAATAACATTCAAATTGTTTCAATACTTTAACCAAAAATTTAAAATGTATAAAATTGATAACCGCTTAAACTTGGAGCATTGCCATTTGATAAAAGATTTTTTTCACTACGATCACTAATGTGTTCAAAAACCTGCTGAATAAGGTAAAACAAGTTTTTATACTTAATAATAAATTATTTTTTATTTTAAAAAAATTTATAAATACTTACTAAATGTAAAGAGCAACTAATCTTGCAAAATCGAAAATACAAAGCTACTATAGACAAATAGTGACTTCATGACCTAGAACTAAATTTAAATGGCAACAAAGTACATGATGCAAAATCTAAGACAAGTGAAGAATTAAAGTAAGAACAAATTTGAACTTCAAATGTGAAGCAAAAAATGCAAAAATTCAAAGTGCTAGATGAAACCGAGTTTAGGCGTGACTTTGGAGAAATTTTTGTACTTGTTTGGATAGAATATGAAGCTAATTTTTTTCAAAAATAAAAATCTATGACTTAGGAATTTGATAAAAAAATTTTTTGCTTAACTAGCTAAAATTCATCAAGAACTGATTCAAAAACCACAAAGAGATCAAAACCACGAATTTCTAAAAGAACTAATATGTTAACTAAGTTTAGGCATGACTTTGAAGAATTTTCTATACTTGTGTGGATGGAATTTGAAGCTAATTTTTTTCCAAAATTAAAGATATATGAGCCAGGAATCTAACAAAAAACTTTTGGCTTAAAACAAATTAGAATTCATCAAGAACTTATCCAAAAACCACAAAGAGGTCAAAACTGTGAATTTCAAAATGAATTAATCTGTCAACTAAGTCTAGGCGTGATTTTGAAGAATTTTCTGTGCTTGTGTGGATTGAATTTAAAGCTAACTTTTTTTAAAATTGAAGATCTATGAGTTAGAAATTTAACAAAAAAATTTTGACTCAAAACAAATTAGAATTCATCAAATACTTATCCAAAAACCACAAAGAGGTCAAAACAACGAATTTCAAAACAGATTTAAAGAACACATGAATTCAATTGAAATTGAATGCAAAAACGTAAAATTTTATGTATGATAGTATCACCACACTTTCCATGAAGTTGAAATTTTGTATGATTGTATCACAAAACCTCAAGCAAGCGCTTCAATCAAGAATGAATTCCCAATTCCTAGTATAACTCAAACATAAAAACGGCTTAGCAAAAAACCATTTTATTTTCCATAAATATTCTTAATAATTATCATCCCATAATTATCGTAATCAATTTTTGTTCCAACACTTAAACTAAAGAACTTCAATCAAGAATAATATCCAGAGTTCAACTAAAATAGAAAAAAAAAAAAGAAAAGAAAACACAAGGTGAATTCAAATATATATATATATATATATATATAAAGAAAGAAAAACCCAGAGTACTAGAACAATCAAAATGGCGATAACCAATCTTGATGGAGTTAATGATGAGATCTCTAATGTCTTTTCCTTCTATATGCCAAACACCCAGACCAACTATTGTCATCTTGAATCAATTGTTCAGTATTATTGCCGTTTTCCTTTTGCTATGTAAAAAAAAAAAAAAAGGATCACACTTCTTATATAAGTCGATCACAATTCTTTAGAATTTTTAAAGCCATTAGAATACATTAAACAAACAAAGAAAACTAATCTAATAAGAGATTACTTACTTCAACTTGAATAGCAAAAATAAATAATTTGATGTTTGATTTAGATTGATTGAGCCAGCATCAATTGAAAGTAAATGCTTATATAGGACGATATCTCTCCTTCCAAAATTCGAACAAATACCATAAGGATTCCCAAATTCTGTCTCTTCATTGCTTTCTTGGGACCTTAACGTTGACAAGGAAAGAAAACTTTCTACAGTAGACTTTCTCTTTGTTGAACTCATTCTTACGAAAATGCTGGCCAAGCATTTTACAAGTTCCTCAAAAACTTTATTTGGGCCATCGTCTCCCAATGGTTTCTCATCTGAAGTGCTAGTATTTCTTGCTTCAGCATTATCTTGGTCTTTCACTCTGCATTCTAGCTGAATATGTGAAGCAAGTCATACTCATTAAACTGCAGTAAGTATACTATAACTTGATGGAAGTGAAACTGGTTCATGCTTGCAATTTTTGAGGATCTAAATGTTTTTCTGCTAGCTTTGAATTAATCAGAGGTCTCTTCACAGGTGTTCTTAAGGATCTCTTATTGCTCTTTGTGGAATTCGTACATGACTAGTTCTTTTTTCGTCTCGCATCATTTGAAAGAATATGAGTAAAGTTTCAGGGCCCATTTTCAATCAATACCGACTCAATAGGTGTATGTATCAAATGTTAATGGCATGAGAAAAGGATTTAAAAAACCAAAAATCTTAGCTTAAAGGATCGCAAATGCCTTGCCATGGATGTATTTCGAGTTAAACTTTTAGGTTGCTGAGGTTTAGAACACTACGGGGGTTTAGGTTTTTAGGGGCATTTTTTTTAACGTTTAGCGGCATTTATAAATGTCACTAAAAGATTTGCGACGTTTGCGAAAAATGCCACTTAGAATGCCGGTTATATACACATCGCAGAAAATAACGATATTTTCAAAAAAATGCCTCAATATTAGTAGCATTTATATCTGAAACGTCACCATTTTAGCGGCATTTATATCTTTGAGACGTCACTAAATTAGTGACATTTTTATGAGAAAAACGACGTTGCTTTAGTGGCGTTTGTAACTGAAAACATCATTACTTTAGAGGCATTTGTATATGAAAATACCTCTATATTAGTAGCGTTTTTTTCTTTGAGACGCCGCTAATTTAGTGAAGTTTTTATGAGAAAAACACTGTTGGTTTGGTGGCATTTGTAACTGAAGACGCCGCTACTTTAGAGATGTTTGTATTTGAAAATGCCTTTATATTAGGGGCATTTGTATCTTTAAGATGCCGCTAATTTAATGGTATTTTTATGAGAAAAACACCATTGCTTTAGTAGCATTTGTATAAAAACGTCACTTAATTAACAGCATTTGCTGATAAGAGCACCGCTACTTTTAGTGACGTTTTATGATACAAACATCACTAAATCATTCATTTAGTGACATTGTTGAACGCAAACACTGCCATTATGTAAAATGTTTTTTTTTAATTTCTGTTAATAAATTTTATTTTCATTAAAGAGCTTAAATTCAAAAACTAAAATTAATATAAACTTAATTCAGGTTTAAATATGCATCTAATTAATACAAAGTTTAATAATTAATATAATAACATTCAAATATTTTTAATACATTAACAAAATAAAAATTAAAATGTATGAAATGGATGACTACATACATTTTGCTGGCTGCCAATTGATGAAAAAAATTTTTCACATTGGTCACTAGTGTGCTCAAGAACCTACTAAATAATACCATACAATTTTTAATACTTCATTGTAAGCTTTTTTTATATTTAAAAATTTAAATATTTATTAAATATAATACATGAGTTGGTGGAGTACCACGATCATTTCTTGGAAATTGTTGTTGCACAAAATTCATAAGATGATCGAATCGATAATGCAACTACTGAAATTTTGTATGCTCTTGCTCCATTCTAGCACATTCTTCCTCAATTTTGGCATGCTTCTGTTCTTTTTCTGCTTCCATTTGCTGAAAACGTTGTTGCATAGTTTGCAACTTTCCTCTCAATATTGAAATGTCTCGCGAAGACTGACTTGCTAAGAATATAAATTGCTAAGAGCTATGTCTATAGTAGGTAGATGGTATTGGACCTAATCGAAGGCCTCGGACCCGTCCATGCCTTTCTTTTCCAGCAACTTCTATGAATATCCGATTTTTCATTTCTTGCATGTTGAAAGAACCATAAAATGCTACTTCAATCTCACTAGTCATTTTCTCTTTTGCTTTCTCCTGTGAATTTGTCATATACAACTATCAAGTTTAATGATTAATTGAAAATATGTTAAAAAGAGTAAATATTTACTTTATGTTAAACTAGATGATACAAATTATCACAATTTCTTGTATTTCAACATTCATGTAAGATCCATCTTTTTGTGTGTATGGTATACAAAAAAGTTTCACACGTCCAATTATACCCCCCATCTCATTCTTGTATACAAAAATATATGTTATTCGATAGGATACATATCAACCACAACTTATTCATGCATATTAGGCTTGTCAATCAAGTATTAACATTTCAAATAATTTTAATCTCATGTATTTATATTTTGGCCTCCTAACAACACAATAGTCTTAAACATACACAAACA